CAGTGTGCATTTTTCAATTTGTCTTTCTGTAATAGCTTCTGACTTCACAGCGATGCCATCAGAGGACGTGGGCTGTGTGAAGGCAATCCCATCAGACAGGTGGAAGCTACAAAGCGGCCCCCACCTCCACTCACCACCCATGGGTGACAGGCTAGTCTACGGCCCTCGCACTGAATGCAGCATTCTACACGGGCCCATTGGGCCAATGCTCAGCTCTGTGCAGATTTCCCATAGCCTTGCTTATTTTTTGTGTGATTCCTTCTAATAATGGGAATAATTATAAAGGTGGATTTATTCATTTCCCCTGCAGCTCTCTCCATTCTTAGCTTCTTCCACATGGGGCTGTTTTGTTAGGGCTCCACATTTGGGATGGCCATATCTTCTCACTGAACAGAGCCCGTGGCCATCACGCAGGGACTGGCTGCACGCCTCACCACTCATTCTGGCTTGAACTCTACTCTGCCTACTATTTACCGAAGTTCAGCAGTCTTCTGGGTAGGATATGACTGATAGGTCTTTTCCTCCTTTCTTTTTATTTTTGACCTTTGTGTGCCTTATGCTTTACATGTGCCTCTTACAGACAAGAGACAGGTGGGAAAGGGTGGGAAACAGGAGAGCAACCTCCCACCGCCCCCAGGGCAAGCTGTAAAGTAGCCAGGTGCTGTGGATGCCGCCTGGATTTGAGCAGGGGGGTCGTATCCTGTACCCGCCCCACTGTGGCTCTCCAGACAAAATCACAGCCCCTGGGGGGGAAGGGCAAGGTCGGCTTCTCCATTGCAAGGGCCAGAGGAAGCCACCTGCCAGCCCACTGTCTTCTTATACCTCTTCGTTTCCTATATGCCATCCCTGATTTAGTCACCATCTTTTTTGATGAGGTCAGACACAGGACCTGGGGACCAGAGGCTGAAGGGGATATTGAGAAAAGTTTAGCTGAGGAATCCAGTGGTAAGCCCACCCCACCCGGGCGGAGAGTGCTTTCCTCCCAGACCCATTGATCCTACAAAGCTCTGAAATCAAGATCCAGAAAGACACCCATGTACCCATAGAAACAACGCAGGAACAAAAGTGGGTGAAGCCAGCAGCCTTAACCATGGGGGAGCAGTGGGGACCATGTAGAGTCTACAGGCTGCACGTTTTCAATGCCGTGAATTTCTCAGCTGCTCAAGAAGAGGTGTCTGGCAGTTGGAGACCAGCCAGGGTTTGCTGAAAACAACCGTTATCGTGAGTCAGTGGGCTGGGAGGAGGTGCCTAAAGTGTGCAGGGTAAGTTAGAGCCGTGGTCTTAGCAGAGATGCAGTAGCACTGTGTCCTTGCCCCTGCATATGGACAGCCATCCCTCCAGCAGGTGCCTGTGGATGGCGGTCCCTCCATGGGTGTGTGTGCACGGCCGACCTTCCACAGGTGCACGCGCACAGCCATCCCTTACGACAGGGAAAAGAAGGACTAACAAACATTCATTGAAAGGAACAACACAAAGCTTTTGACAGAGTCACACGGGCATCAGGCTTTCAGAACCAACTTAGACACTTGAAAAGAATAGCCTTGGACATGAAGAGACTCTGATCCATTACATGTTTGAATTGAGACATAATCATCTAATCAAAATAACCAACCTTTTAGAGAGGACATTTGGGACTGAGCCCTTGCAAGTCAGGGTGCCCAAATATATCCAACACTTCATACAAAAAAGCTTACATTTGACCTAAAAATGCCAGGCATCACCACCTGTCTTAGCTCATAAGGGGACCATTGGACACACCCAAGTGTATGAGGATGGTAACTGCATTGGTCTTTACAACCAGAAAATCATCTAAACTGATGGAAAATTGATGAAGCAAATCATGGCATATCTGTACAAAGGAATACTTTGCAGCCATTAAAATTATGCTACAGATCACTAGTTACTGGTATGCAAAGATGGCTACATTATAGTAAATGAAAAAAAGCAATATCATACTTTAAAAAAAAATAAAAAGGAAATGCGTGTACAAAATTACCTTGTTTGTGTCTTGAAAAAAAATGTCTGGGAAATTATTCATCAAAACATTAACAACAGTTATTTGAATGTGAGGATTACTGGCAATCTATATTTTCTTTGTGCCTTTTTATATTTGGTAAGTTATTTAAAATAAACACACGTCATTATAATGGTTTATAAAAAGAAGGTGCCTAAAGAGCCCATTGTGAAAGCTCTTTCAGCATTTTAAATGAATAATTTATCTCTTTAGCAGCTCTGGTTTATGCTAAGTTTCAAGTTCCCAAAGAGTGGGCAGAATTTCTGCTCCTGTTCCTCCCCAGGCCCCACACACAGCCCCACGAGGGCTAAGCTCCCTGACGGCCATTGATTGACTGAAGGACTCTCTGGGTGTCGGGCAAAGAGGAGATGCTAGCAAAAATCGCTGAGGACCAGATTGCTGAGCCTTTGGCACTAGAACTTTTCATAATTGAAAACTAAAACCTGTGAGTCATTTCATTTTATTACAAATGAACCCACCTCACAACTCCCCTTCAGTTTTGAAATCTCGCCAAAGTGTTGGTTACGATCCCATCACTCGGCTAATGTGAAAGTTTTAAAAGCTGTTTAATGACATCATTATCCCGCAAATCATCATGAGGAAGGCAGGAAGGAGTTTGGTGTTTGAGACGTGCACGCATGGGCCTGCGGTCTCTGATGTGGGACCAGGGCCCACACGGAGTACGGTTTCACCTCCTAACGACCTCCTCGGTGCCTTCGCCCCGGTACCAGTCAGCTGTTGCTGCCTGACAAGCAGCCACAGAAACCTCAGTGGCAGAGAAAGACGGCCTTTATTGATCTGTGCTGGGCTCATGGGGCGGGGGAGGGGGTCGCTGCTTCAAGCCATGAGTCCGAGTGGCCTCTCTCCTGTCCACCTCCAGGATTCCAGCTCTAGCCTGCAGCACATGTATTCACTTGGAGTCCACATTGAAGGACAGAAGCGATTTAGGGGAAGCCCTTCTGTCAGGGTACAAGGCCAAGGTCAGGAGTGTATGTCCAATCATACAAGCATGACTCAAGTTCCCACTCACGTCGGGTCCGCCGACACCAGGGTGGCCGGAGCCAGTGGCCGGCAGCGGTAGGGAGGCGAAGGCCACAGAAGGGAGCATTGGAGGGAAACAGGCATTAGGAGCAGTGATGGGACCTAGTACGCACTGCGCTTGTGCAGGTGTCTGTCACCACTCCGGCTCCTGAGCCAGCCAGCGCCCCCACGCAGCCCTGTCTAGCCACCCATGCTGCCTGGAGGAAAAGCCAGCCTTGCCTCAGTGGTAAACTGGGTGTCCTTCTTGGGTAAATAAAGCACTGATTTGATGTTTTGTTGACCAAGCTCTTACTGTGTTGCAAGGCTCTTTGGAGAGGAAGGGCCCTTCCCACCTTTAGGGTAAACTTTCTGTCTCTCCGTCCTGGCAGCCGGGAGGGGGAGGAACACGGGGACTGGCACAAAGGGACTTGCCAGCCACACGCACAGCCAGAGTGCTGGGGGCTGAGGGACGGAGCCCCTTTCGCCTCAGCCTGAGAAGACCCGTGGCAGTGGCCTGTGGCCAGCTGTGTGCAGGGGGCCGGCGGGCGAGCTATCTCACTGGCACTAGCCTCCCTCGGGCTGATGAAGAGCATCAGCACTCCCACTAATGATGCCTTACTTTAAACCTCTCGGAGAAGCAGGTGCAGTTTTCCTTTCTCACGTCGTAAATCAGGCCTGGTTCCTGGGAACCACGGGGCGGCACGTCGGGTATATAAACGCAAACGGTGCCAGGGGTGTTGAAAGGAAAGATGTGGTGGGTAAAACGGTCCATCTGCTGACACACAAGCCACAGACAAGCTTTCAGCTTTCTCCTTCCGAATCTAGACACCAGCTGGCGGTTTGCGCGTCTGTTGTGTCTGAAGGAGACGGGGGCCTAGGCTCCTAGGCTCGCTGCGGCTGGGATGAGAGGAGAGGAGGGTCCGAGCAGTGATACAAGGCAGGGAGCTGAGCATCCCAAACGAGGGAGGTGTGAGGACAGGCTGGCTCAGGACAGGCCACCGAGGCACTTGTCCTGCCGCCCCCCGCACCCCTGGAGGCTCCAGGTGGACCACCAGTGGCGTGGCGGGCACCTCTCTCCTGGACCAGCTGAAGGAGCGGGCAGTCTGTGCTGGGCAAAGGGCAGCCCCAGGGTGGTCGTGGGAGTGGACACGGAGCAGAGGACAGTGCCCACAAAGCATGATGCCGGGCACTGCCCTGCGGTGATGGTGTCCTACGCCCACCAAACCAGAGGCCACAGAGCCTGTGGCTTACCCCGTGGCATGTAGCATCACCCCGTCAGGAGGCTGGGGACAGGGGTGGCTGGGTCAGGTCCTGCGCGGCTGTGAGAGGGACCTGTTCCATCCTCTCTCCCGGCTTTGGGTGGTTTGCCGTCAACCCTGGGCCTTCTTGAGCTGGTGGCGGGTCTCCCCATCTCTGCCTTCTCCTTGTGTGCCCTCAGTCCCTGTGCCCAAACTTCCCCTTGTATGAGGACACCAGCCAGTCATACCGGGTTAGGGCCCACACCCAAGACCTCGTCTTGACTAATTACATCTACATTTGGAAAGACCCTATTTCCAAATAAGGTCACATTCATAGTTACTGAGGGTTAGGGCTTCAACATCTCTTTGGGGACACAATTCAATTACAATTTAATCACTGACAGTTGAGATTTCTTTTTTTTTTTTTAAAGATTTTAAGTGATCCCTACGTCCAACATGGGGCTCAAACTCATAAACCCTGAGATCAAGAGTCACATGTTTTGCGACACCTGGGTGGCTCAGTCGGTTAAGCGTCTGACTTTGGCTGAGGGCATGATCTCAAGGTTCATGAGTTCGATCCCTGCATCAGGCTCTGTGCTGACAGCTCAGAGTCTGCTTCAGATCCTCTGCCCCACTAACAGTTGTGATTCATAATGACATTGTGACCCAACAGAAGCCAATCAGATGCAACAGGACGCTGCTAAGATTCCGGGGCAGAGCTTGGAGCTTGGAGCTTGGAGGACGTCAGGTCCAATGTGGCCAGCCATCTGGGGCCCGTCAGGGAAGGATAGGAGCCTGCGCACATGTGGTCACAAGGGAGCCAAGCGCTTCCTGCTGGTAAGTGGACCCAGAAGAAAGTGGGGAAACCCTGGGTCCAGGTGACACCACTTAAATGCTTCAAGCCAACCTGTTCCCAGATGTTCCAAATACCGGAACCCATGTCTCCTTTTCATCAAAGTCATTTTGGAATGTGGTTTTCTGTCCCTTGAAATCTGAAGACTTTGACGGCACAGGTGGTCCCATTGATTCTTGGCCTGGTGGGACACGTAGGAAAAAGAGCAGCTGGAGAGAAGGGGGCGACTCTCCACTCAAGAGGACCTGCCGATGGCAGAGGGAGATCTCAGCCCCAAGGGCCCACGCCCGGCACACAGCGGCCCCAGGCCCCTGCTGCTCAGAATGCGGTCCGTGGGCTAGCGGCCTCTGGCACCCTGGGAGCTGGTCAGAAACACGGGTTCTCAGGGCTCGTCCCAGACACTCTGAACCAGACTCCGCATCTTAAACAGGATCACCATCGATTTATGTGCTCATTAGAGCTCAAAGAGCACGCTTCCAGCCTAATTAGTGAGCAAAGTTTGGGTGGATTAAATCCCAGCTATTTAACAATCAAATTGGATTTCTGCTCTTTCTGTCTGATTTAAAGCTATTCCTCCAAGGATTGAGACCAAGTCATCCTATGAATATTATATTTATTTTATATTATATTATATTATATTATGTCATATTGTGTCCATTATATTACATCATTAAGTTATAAACATACTATAACACATCAAAATTAGTTAACATTAGGGTGCCGTATAGCATATACATTCCACTTTGAAGTACGAGGCATCGGACAGTGTTTTTCATGTCATATCTTTATTGAATGGCACAGTATAATACTACAGACTATGAAGACGCCATCTGTGCCCCATATTAACTGTCACCTTCAGCATCATGAACAAAATTTGCTGAATCATGGCTCAACTCTTGGCTCTGTATGTCTCCACTCACTGGGCATCCAGAGTAGCCAAGCGGAGGCCAGATCAGCACCAAAAGAACATGCCTCAGAAACCCGGACCACTGGAAGCCCATGGCAGACCCAGAGCAGTTCACCTGCTGTAGATAGTCAACCTCACTCTGGTTTCCTGGCTTTCACAGAGACATTCTTCTGGCCTTGCACTGCGTGAAGGACCTGCTCAGAAACCCTTTGGGGAATCATTTTCCGCCAGTGGTCGTCTTTGATGGTGAAATCGCCGGGTGAGGCCCCCGGGGTGTAAGGCCCCTCCCCCCAGGGTGTGAGGCGGCCAGGGTGTGAGGCTCGCCGGGGCCCCACATTGCAGAGGGATCAGCAGCAGAGTACTTAGAGACCACATACAACACAGAAACCAAAATTAAACTAATCCTCACACAGGCAAGGCTCTACAGATAAATAAAAATTACTTCTGAACTTTCTGCGTCTTTGACTCTGTGTGTCTTTATTTTATTTAGATCAGCATGGATAGCGTCAAAAATGAGAACAAAGACTAATCAGCGCTGAAACAAAATGCACAAAATCGAGGCAGAGGAGCACATGCCCACAAGGAAAAGCACTGAGCAGAAATGCAAGGTTTAAATTCTGGAAGGGGAATGTTGATTAACAAATGACAACTCCCGCTGTGGACAGAACAGAGCCCTAGGGGTGTGTGCCCATGGTTCACACTGCCCTGATGTGGGGCGCCCGGGGGGCTCAGTTGGTTAAGTGTCAAATCTTGATTTCAGCTCAGGTCACGATCTAAGGTTCATGAGATCGAGCCCTACTCTGTGCCGACAGAGTGGAGCCTGCTGGGGATTCTCTTTCTCCCTCTTTCTCTGCCCCTCTCCTGCACATATGCTGGCTTGCTCTCTCTCTCTCTCTCTCTCTCTCAAAAAAAATCAAACATTTGAAAAAAAAAGCCCTATTGTTCCCCATCTGGAAAATGTCATCAGTTTGGTCCAGGAGGGGTCTGGGTTCCATCCAAATCCATGGCCCTCCATCCACGGCTGCGAGCTGAGGCCAGGGGTGTGGAATCTCCTGGTCATGCCTGTCCTAAGTGGGGATTCTTTATCTACAAGGTACATTCACTTAGTCAACATTTATTGATTCTCTGATATTGATGACTTCTTTTTGATCATTCCTCAAATGGCACCACAATAGAGAAGACTGCGTCCCCGACCCCCTCCATCTCTTCGACTTCTCCTCCCAGCGCCTGCCGCTGCCTGACCTCGGTTCCGCTAGCGAACTGTGCGCTGCTGACCGGCCGGCTCCTGGCTGGAGCTCTGAAGGGAAAGGGGCTTAGTTGTGCTTCTGCCTGTGTTTTCACATCTAGGGCAGCGCCCGGCGGAGAATAGGTGCTCCGGAAATGTTTCTGAGCAAAAACAGCGCATCAGGTGCTAGACAAGACTAGAGCTTTTCAAATAAAAACAGTGTTATGAGACATAAGCCAGACGCTCTATAATTCAGTAAAATATATTTTAAACCCTAGACCTAAAAAGCACAAGGAAGAAGACAGCACGTTTTATCCTGCTTTGGAAGGCAATTTAGCATCTCTAAAGGTTTTCAATTCTCCTAACCACTGCCAACCCCAGACCTCTGTGCCTTTGCATCTACACTTGCCCCGTGCGCAGAAGCCACGCCCTTGGATGTTCACATGGCTTTGTGAAAACCTGAAGACAAGTCTCAAGTCCTGTCCACCACGTGCTTCCAGTGGGTCCTGATGGAGAACACAGCAAGTGCTCGGTGAATGCAGACCTTACCATCCACGACAGGAATCCTGGCCCTCCCTATCCGGCATCCAGCAGGGACCCAGCCAGTTCAGTCTGCAGTCGTGATCTGTTTCCATAGTTCATGACCTCACATCGGAGTGTCCTGGATCTGCCCCAGTCTGAGAGCGTGAGCCGGCCTCGCTGGTAGGACAGACCTGTCTGTGCTCAGCTTGCGCAGCCCACACTAGGAGCTGCGCTCCCTTATGAGACACTGGCAGGCATCGGCTTAGCCAAGCCCAGGTGTTTGGGGGAAATTTTGTGAATGAAGGACCCCAAAAGAGCCAGCAACTCTTTTGCTAAGGGCAGCAGAGTGGGAGACCGAACTTCCCCAAGAGATAGCGGCCACTTTCTCATACAGGACCATCTGCAATGCTCTGTGTCCACAAGACACAAGCAAGTAAGGCTGGAGGGATCTTCCACTGGTCAATAAAGAGTTCAAGTGATCCATTCTTCCTAAAATAGGAATATCAGGCAGAGAATCCCAGACATCTACAGGTCAGGCATTCAGTTTCAGAATAAAGGTCAGTACCAAGGTATTATTAATAGCTGCATTTCAAACATCATGTACCTAGTAGTTGTGTGAAAGCCACAAGTCCAAAACCCCAAAGATCCTCCGGGGGGGAGGCTGCCTCCCTTTGGAGCCCAGAGGCTGCAGTTAGCAATATCTTCTGTCCCCAACAGAAGGCATTCTCGCAAGATTCTGACCCATCAATGGCAGTGAACAGCCAGGTCTTACTACACTTCAGTTCTGTACATACAGCCTTTTTCCCACATTACGGCAGGTGGTCTGCTTACTCAGCACTCACCACTTTTAGTGTGAGTCTCATGCAAAACCAGCCTCCAAGGGGACACATGAAATAAACCATCACAGCACCTTTGCCCCTCCCCCACCATACCCAGTACCCCTCCCCCCACAGGACCAGGTACGGTGATGACCCAGGCACGTATGGCCAACAGAGAAAGGAATTGAGATGCTCTTCTCACAGAATATTCAAGATCCCACTCCTCCTCTGGCGCCAGGAGAACTCGGCCGCACCCTGAATCCTAAAGGGCGCTGAGGGGCAGAGGGTGACGTGGAGAAAGTGTCTCTGGCATTCAGGCTTCAACAGCATGACAACTGCGTGTGGTTCAACCCACCAATCTCCCGATGTCTGTAATCCACCCAAAGCCCTCCGCCAGCCCTGGGACACACAGCCCTTTCCCTCCACCCAGAGGAGAGGGCAACACCCAAAACCCCATGTGGGCTACTTGCTTCAACCCCACAGCCACCTCCAAACCATCTTATTAACGGGAGACAAAGGGGAAGACACCATATCACCCAACTGATCACAGAGGATGGTCACTGAGTCAAGCACAAATTCTCATGAACTTTCCTCAGGTTCCCCCAGTTGGTCTTCGGGGCCCTCATCTGCCTCGTCCAGAAGTGGAATTCGTCCAGAAGTCCAAATCTGGGAAGGGCCCGGCATCTTACCCAACTTGCATGCTAAGTACTTGGTTTGCCATAATTTTATCCATATCCTGACAGAAGGACACAAGACCCCCGGTCAGAGACAGGGAAGAGTTATCACTCACAGCAAGAACAATAAACAGAGCAGCATCCTGTGCATTACCCGAATTCACACAGGGCCAGGCACGAGGGACCAGATGTTACCCATATGTGCCAGTACGTGCAGTGGGGTGCATGCACCACAGGACCCTAAAATTAAAAGTCTCCGAACTTTTATGAGGCTGCGGACATATCTGCTTGTGCTCCTCTCTGAAAAGCAAGATTATTCACTACCCCGGAATGTAAGCAAGTATTTCTAGAAAGGAAAGCAGATTTTGTCTTTCATTCCCGGAGACGTCACCAAGGAGGTGTTTCTGCCAATCCCTCTGGTGGTAAAGTCTCCAGCTTCCAGCACAGGCTCATGATTTGGGCGTGTTCCCCACGCAGGGATACAGGACGTCCACAGGAGCTGTCTGCCAACAGGAGCACCTTTTGTGAATTGTCTTTTCAAATATTTGGCCCACTTTTTATTTGGCAATTCATCTTCTTGTCATAGAGTTGTAAGAAGATATGTATCAGTGGAGCCCTTTGTAAAATCTACATCTCACAAATATGGCAAACAAATGAAAGCTCCCTCCACTTATGTGACTTGCCCTGTTGTTTACTTAATATGTTTTTGTAATAGGAAGTTTTAAGTGTCTTATAAAGTCCAGTTTATCAAGCTTTTAAATTTCATAATTTCCTTTTTGTATCATTTTCGTGTCCTCTGCGTGGACAGCCCAGAGCCTGTTTGTGATTTTCTCTCTCCGTCTCTCTCTGCCCCTCCCCCACTCATATTATTTTCTCTCTCTCTCAAAATAAATAAATATTTTTAAAAGATAAAGACTACATATGTCCCTATGCATCAGCACTCCTGTATCCTTCGGGTAAATTCTTAGCAGTGCCACTGCTGGGTCATAGGGGAGTTCTATTGTTAATTCTGTGAGGAACCTCCACACAGTTTTCCAGAGGGGCTGCACCAGTTTACATTCCCACCAACAGTGTAGGAGGGTGCCCGTGTCTCCACATCCTCGCCAGCATCTATAGTCTCCTGATTTGTTCATTTCAGCCACTCTGACCGGCATGAGGTGGTATCTCAGTGTGGTTTTGATCTGCATTTCCCTGATGAGGAGGGACACGAAGCATCGTTTAACATGTCTGTTGGCCATCTGGATGTCTTCTTTGAAGAAGTGTCTGTTCATGTCTTCTGCCCATTTCTTCACTGGATTATTTGTTTTTTGGGTGTGGAGTTTGGTGACTTCCTTATAGATTTTGGATACTAGCTCTTTATCTGATATGTCATTTGCAACTATCTTTTCCCATTCCATCGGTTGCCTATTAGTTTTATTGTTTCCTTTGCTGTGGAGAAGCTTTTTATCTTGATGAGGTCCCAATAGTTCATTTTTGCTCTTGATTCTCTTGCCTTTGGGGATGTGTCGAGTAAGAAATTGCTGCGGTTGAGGTCAAGCAGGTTGTTTCCTGCTTTCTCCTCTAAGGTTTTGATAGTTTCCTGTCTCACATTCAGGTCCTTCATCCATTTTGAGTTTATTTTTGTGTATAGTGTAAGGAAATGATCTAGCTTCATTGCTTTGCACATTGCTGTCCAGTTCTCCCAGCACCGTCTGTTAGAGAGGCTGTCTTTTTTCAATTGGATACTCTTTCCTGCTTTGTCAAAGATTAATTGCCCATACATTTGTGGGTCCAATTCTGAGTTCTCTATTCTATGTACCCCAATGTTTATAGCAGCACTTTCAATAGCCAAATCATGGAAAGAGCTTAAATGCCCATCAAATGATGAATAGATCAAGAAGGTGTAGTTTATTTATACAATGGAATGCTACATGGCAATGAGAAAGAATGAAATCCCTGGCCATTTGTAGCAATGTGGATGGAACTCAAGGGTGTTATGCTAAGTGAAATAAGTCAGGCAGAGAAGGACAGATACCATATGTTTTCACTTATAAGTGGAACAGGAGAAACTTAACAGAGGACCATGGGGGAGGAGAAGGGAAAAAATGAGTTGGGGAGAGGGAGGGAGGCAAACCATGAGAGACTCTTGAATGCTGAGAACAAACTGAGGGCTAATGGAGGTAGGGAAGAGGGGAAGGGGGTGAGATGGGCATGGAGGAGGGCACTTGTCGGGATGAGCACTGGATGTTTTATGGAAACCAACTTGACAATAAACTGTAAAAACATAAAAATAAATAAATTTTTAAAAGGCTAAAAAATCAATCACGTACATATGGATCGATTTCTGGGTTCTCTATTTCAGCCCACTCTAATAAAAATATAATGCAAGATGTAAATGTAAGCTACATATGTAATTTTAAATTTTCTAGTAGCCACATTTTCAAAGGCGGACCGCTATG